ACACACCACCTCTACGGGAAAGGCAGATTTAAAAGATTCTAAATTGCTCAGGGAAGCACAAACCTTTCTTCGTCCTGACATTAAAGCTGCAGGGAAAGTGCACCTGTAAGTGAAGGAGAAAGGCCTGGGGATCTTCAGAGGGGCACGCACAGTCCCTCAGCATTCCACTTTATTATCCTGTAACACACCACCTCTAGGGGAAAGGGAGATTTAAAAGATTCTAAATTGCTCAGGGAAGCACAAACCTTTCTTCGTCCTGACATTAAAGCATCCTTGGCATAAATTATTTTTTAAAGTCCCAGTAAGAACAATTTTACTAGAATTATCTTATTCTATTATCTTCAATTTTTTATTCTAAAATCCACATAATCATGTAATACAGGCCGGCCTCAAAGTCTGGAAACCCAGATAATTATGTTATTACTATTGTATCAATAAACCATTTATGTTATATTCAGATATGTTCCCAAATTTGGGAGTCACACTGTAGAATGATTACAGAAAATGCAGCCGCTTTTATTCTTGAAGAGTTCTTCTATGAGCCTCTAAGAGGGAGTGATGGCCACTTCCTCTCTCTTTTGGTAAGGTTTCTAGACTATTCATTTCAACAGACATTCATCTAAACACGTGTGGAGGGCAAGTCTCTGAGAAGTATCTTTCTTAACTTCCAAATATAACTTGATGTCTTAGCAGCCCCGAATAGCAATAGTCTCTGTATAAATAGAATACACCCACTGAAAAATCACAGCATTGCAGCTCCAGCACCCACGATGACTGCAGGCACACAGCAGATGACTTACTATTCTTTTAGACGATTCTCCTCTGCATATTTCTACTTCCCCTAACAACGAGATGATGCTCGGCAATATGTGTATAAAGAAGTTATGATCTTTACATCCACAGATGACACCCAACTGGAAGATACAGAGCAAACATATCAAATGACAGAATGAAAACCCAAAAAGGATGACACACTCGTATAATAAGACAAGTCAGAAAGATTAATTTGACCAGGGATGACTGAAATAAAATTCTAGAGTCATGACTCAAGAAGCAGCTATACACAAACAGAACGAAGGAGAACGTCTGAGCAGAAACAAGTGGAGAAACCAACCCTAGACAGTTTAGTTACTGGTGTGTTCAGTAACATGCCATTCATGCAATTCTTTTGGGCAGCACTTATTTCCTAGGCTGCAATAACAGGAGTAGAGTCTCCATAACAGGAAACATCAATATTCTGTTCACCTCTGAAATAGTCAGACCACGCCAAGCCTGCTGGACTTCCTCCCCGTGACAACACTCGAACGGCATCATAAACAAACATTCCAATAGGGAGAAAGGAAACCTCGAGGGCCCCGGAGATCAGGTAGAGAACTGGTGAAGAACAGGGAGGCCTGATGCAGCAAAGGCAAGAAAGCATGTTTGAAGATTTAAAGGACTGTCACACAGAAGCACTCTCGGCTTGTTCTGAACGGCCCCAAAGTAGAGCTTGGTAACCAAGGGAACTGCCCCAGAGCTCCAGGCTGCCTGGAAGGTGCTGGTCCTGCCTCACTGGGGACACGTCTCACACATGCTGACCAAAGGGCCTGGACACGCTGATCTTAAGTTCTCTGAATGCAGGAAGCCAGGATTCTAAAACTGCACTTATTCACAATTGTATTTTAATACCAAAAAGTTTAACGCACTTCCCTTGAAAACCCAAATTAGAGAGAACTTAAAAACCATAAATATTCTGCCTTGTACCTAACTATATTTCAGTGTGTACATTAGAAGAATAAATAATCCAAGAAGAGAACATATGCTTTATGGACTACTTAGTATTTTTCACATTTGAAAGATAAATATTAACCTCTGTCCTTAAAAAAAAAAAAGTCCATAGAACCATTAAAAAATTTTTGTTAAGAAAAAGAAAAACATTTCAGGCTATTTTGTATTTCACATTCCATCATTTGAAATTCTCAAAACCGTAACTTAAAATTCACTTCTACTTCCTTGGCAAAAACAACAGGAACAACACAGACCCACAAGTCAGCACAGAAGGCCTTGTAAAGAGGGGCTGCCACTTAGCAGGTGTAAACTGGCAGGTTTAGAATGATACAGTTCATGCAGGCCATTAGTGAATAATTAAGTTACAGGTCCGGTTAACTGAATGGAAGTCATGAAAACACGGAGCAGAGTCCTGCTCACTCCACTGGGCTGCAGTTGGAAGCACGATGGCACAGCAGGGCCAGGGCTACCAAGAAGCCCAGCACCCACAGCCATACGATGCCACCTCTCATGCCTGTCTCCAAGTTCTCTGCTTTAGATTCAGAGAAAACACACATGTAAAGAACAGAGGTTTGCATCACATCCAAAAGGCCAAGCAACATTTATAATCCACTCACTAGCAAATGATCTGCACGATTCGGACTGACAGAACTCACTGCATTTAATTAAAAAGTGAAAAGGTCAAGCTACGTGGTAGCTGTGTGTCCCTTCACACCAGGTTCCACCATAAGCCTGAGCACTCTCACTGGGCACGGCAGGGGCGCTGCTCTCCTCTGATGCCTGGCACAAGCACCCCCATGGCCTTCAGACATCCAGGCCTCAGGCTTATCTGAAAAAGTTCACAAGGGCTCACTCTGCCCTCTAAAACAGGAACATCACGAGGACAGCCCAAGTAAAGACGTCACTGGCAAAATCTGTGAGAATGCAGAACACCTGCGATTTCTGCTGGAAAAAATCTCAAGAGGAAGCATCCTTCCAGGGTTAGCATAAGCCGAGGGCCCTCCTCATGCCAGGCTGGATTCGGGCGGGCTCCAAACCCAGGACAGCCACAGTAAACTACGACCTCGGCAGGTGACACCCGTGACCCCCGACCCCCCCGGCGCCCATGTCCACGGGACGTTGTCACACGGTGGGTTTGGGTACCTCTCTGCTGGTGTGACTTCCCCCAAACCCTGAACCTTGTCCCCCAACAGAGCTTCCAACTGCCTGGAGTTTGAGGTACCAGATCCCAAAGGCCATTTCCGATGGGAACCTACTTGAAGAAAGTTCTGTTCGTAAAAGTTAGGACCACCCAGCTAATGAACTGAGAGCCAGCTCCACGGGGAGTTTTGCGTTTGTTTTGTTTTTTAACAAGACTTAGAATTCCCAGTGTTCTGGACATTAAGTGAGAGTGCCCTTCGATTTATACTCGAGAATGAGGGCCTCGTGCCCAGTGAGGCAGGAGGAAAACTACCAGCAATTATTATTATTACCATTAGGTATCAACACTGAGATAGTGGAAAGCAGGAAGACGACCATTCCAAGGTGTGTTTTTGCCAAGAGTTTTAGCACAACTCCGTTCTCTGAACTTTATATGGTGCATTTATCCTCTGCAAGGTGACTTCCGGTCAAGATGGCAGAATCGATGGTCTCCAGTGTCACCTTCTCCCACAAATCTACCAATTTACAACTATAAAAAAGCAATGATAGCCAAGCTGATACCACTAGAGCCCAGGGGAAGAGGAGGAGAGACCTACGGAGTGCATGGAGGTGGGAGAAGCCATGATGAGAAAAAGAAAGAACCACTCTGACAGTTTCAAGCCCTGGCCACATCCAGGCTGGAGCTGCTGAGCGCATGGAACAGGAGCTGGCAAAAGCCACAACTGTGTCCTTCGGATGAAGTTGCTTGGAGGTGTCAGGGGAGAAGAGGGTCTTGGTGGCCCCCAGGCCAGCAAGACCTGTAACAGGGTTCCCGTGGGCCCATATAGGAGCAAGGAGCCACAGCAATTGAAAAAAGGAGCCACTCAGAGTGTAGTGAGTCATCACAAGGGACCAGTGTATGGCCCATCCCATGGGAAGTGTTTGGAGCACGGGCAGTGGGGGAGATGGGCCCACTGGGAGAACACTGGGGCATAGCAAGGACAGATGATCTGCCCCCCAATCAGTGTAGGACCACTCAGAGGAGACGGGTCAGGAATACAGAATGGCATGGGGTGCAGTTTGATGAAAAGACTCAGGCCCAGACCAGAGTTTCTAAACAACCCAGGTGCACTGGATCTCTCAAGAGCCAGAAGTACCTATAAAAGTCAACCATTAAAACTTGCACAAAAAGCCTTCCCTAGGGAATCGACAGCAAAGCAGCAATTTAGCTCAACCACAGAGCTCAAGTACTGGTCCCCACAGGAAGTTCCCCCACTTTAGAAGTAAGTAAAGGACAACGAATTAGTTCCAGTGCAGAGTTTAAATGGTGGCAACAGCAAATAATCCAACACGGAACTGAAAGAAGAAACAAAGTACCCACAACCAGAGACAAAGTTTGATATTAACTAATAAAAGTCTCATTTCACCAAAGAACACCTATCCTCTGCAAAACTTTGCTTACTAATACTGGAGAACTGATCAAGTATTTTTTTTTTCTTTTTGTCCTTTTTTGAGACTGGCCGCACCGTGCTCAGCCAGTGAGCGCTGTGAGCACACCGCTCATCCCTATATAGGATCCGAACCCGCGGCGGGAGCGCTGCTGCGCTCCCAGCGCCACACTCTCCTGAGTGTGCCACGGGCTTGGCCCCAAAGTATTTTTTTTTTAATTATATATGTATAAAGATAAAACTTAAAATAATCACTTCCAATGAACATTCTTGTCTTTTGAGAGACAAGGACAATGAGTATCTACTGACTCTTTGTTTAAAATGACAAAAAAAAGGTGAAGTACAATCAAGTCTGCCTGCTCCTGTCAGATTCCTGCATGCAGGAGATGTGACTGTGCTTCCAGAATGACACTTCAGGGCTCTCTGCACCCCTCCTGGGCCATGGGTTCAGCCGGCCCTGGCAGGGCACAATTCCAGGGCCCGGGAGAGCTGCCACACCTACTGCACTCCTCAGCTGGTTGGGACAAGGTGGCCATGAGACAGAGCCGCCCACACTTGGCCCTCAGGGACCCTCAGCTGGCAGGTGGGTGGCACCATGGCCTTCCAGGGGAGGCTGCTGAGGTCCACAGACTTGTGGCCGGGGAAGGAGGGAGCCCCACGTCTTACCTCTGTGCTCCAGCCCAGGGCCACTGACGCCCCAGCCCTGGTAGAGAGTGGCAAAGTCCTTTGGAATGTATGTCTTGAAGATGTCGAGGATGTCCAAGCGCTTCTCGTGCCCCTCGGCTGCCGGCTCCTGCTTGATGGAGTGCAGGACAGGGGGCGCCCCAGCTGCACCCGGCTGGGCCTGCAAGGCTGTGTCCCCTCGGGGACCCGCAGCACAGGCAGCGAGCGTCCTCAGCTCCTGGGCCGCTTTCGAGGGGGGCTCGCGAGGAGGGAGAGGAGGGCCCCCTTCGCCTTTCACGGGAGGCTGACCCTGAGGCTGAGCGCTGATTTTGGCTTTCAAGGAGTCCGGGGCACTGTGCTTATTGGGGGGGGCAAAGCCAGCCCCTGCTGGGGGGACCCCATACTTCTCCACGGGCTTGCTATTGGCAGAGGGATGGGCGCCTGCTCGCGTTATGACAGTGGGAGTGGGGGTGGCACTTCTGCTGAAGCCCCCGCCACCCCCAGGGGTGGGCGGGGGTTTGGAGCTGGCCTCCAGCTTGGGTTTCGGCGCATGCCCCTGAGTCGTGGCCCCGCACTGCTCCTGGCCGTGGCTGGGCTTGGCCTGCCGGTACCCATCTGGGCCGGCTGCCCACAGTGCACAGGGCCCCCCGGAATGGCTCTCCTTATTCTTAGGCATGCTAGCGGCTTTCGTGGTCACTCCCAGGGGGGAAGGGCTGCTCTTGGGTCCTGGTGCCCCACCTGGCACCTGAGTGCGAGTGAATCGAGCCAGGAGCAGAGGCTGGCATTCCTTGCCTCCAAGGGCAGGTGGGGGACCCGTGCGTCCACTCCGAGCCAGGAACACCAAGTTGTTTCTTATGCTTTTGTAACCGTTGGGCTGAATCCACTGGGGAGCCGTGGTGCTGCAGCTGACCCTGTGCCAGACGCGCTTGTGCATCCACAAGACCTCAGGGTAGTAAGTCTTGTGGTTACAGTAAGGACACGGGTGAATGACCAGAGCGGCTTGCAGGGAGGAGGCCACTTCCTTATTGCTGAGGTCATCCCGAGTCGACCGCGCACTTAAGTCCAGCGGGATCAGGTCTGGGGCCAGCGCCTTTTTTCCTCCCCCAGAATGCTCTTTATTGTGCAAATCGGACAGCTTTTCTCTAGGGTGACTGGCCTGGCTCTCCAAGGAGAGCTGCGAGTCTGCCCCTTCCGTACTTGAGGGGAAATCCACAGCGTCCCCAGAACCCAGCACCTCCTGCTTGGGGTGAAATGCTGGCATCTTTAAGTCGACAGAAAATCTGTGTTGTTCTGGTCTTCTGGAAGTCTCTCTGCTATTGTTTTCAAGTATGGACACAGAAGTTGCGATACCTGCTTTGGACTCGTTGGTGTCTTTTTCTGATGGGTTATTTCCAAGTTTGTGACTTTGGTCTCCGTTAGAGAGCACAGTTGGTACCACCTCTTCAGAAAAGCAGCAGCGGCGTGGCTTTCCCCCTGGAGGAGCAAAATGTAAAACGGAAGTTACCATTTCTTATCAGAACAGGACCAGACACAGGAAGTCTAACAGTTACAGGGCAGCATCTCGGGCTAGAACACGGTCCTCAGAGCAAGAGGACAAGTCCTGAGTCCGGCCAGCTCTCCGTGAGCCTGTCGGGAGCTAACCAAACAAAAGAGAAATGACACTGTGTTGAGCAGGGCTTCTTCTCCCTGTGGATCAGCATCTCGGGCTAGAACACGGTCCTCAGAGCAAGAGGACAAGTCCTGAGTCCGGCCAGCTCTCCGTGAGCCTGTCAGGAGCTAACCAAACAAAAGAGAAATGACACTGTGTTGAGCAGGGCTTCTTCTCCCTGTGGATTAACATGACTTAAATGACTGTAGTGAAAAATAAAACATCTGGGTATCTAGTCACATGTAACTACATAGTTCCTAATTAAGAGGGTGACTCGTTCTATTAAAACTCAGGAAAATAACTTCACTGTATGTAACAGGATGAGGACTTTCATTCACTCCCCATTCAAGTCTCTTGTGGGATCTTGTATCTTCACCATCACCTCTGATCACTTTAGGGTAAGAAAACCAGAGAGGTTAGACGTAGCTCCTGCTCACAGGGAGGCAGGACTGGAAAACAGCTCACTCTGTCCAGAAGATCCCAGCGTCTGCGTCAGAAACCGCCGGGCTCGAGCAGCTTCAGCCTAATCCAGAAAGGCACCTTGTGAACATCTCTGGTGAGATCTAACTATCCAGTCCAAATCCTTGATGCCAAAAGTTTCTTTTAGACACCTGTGGGCTAAGTCATCTTAGAAGCAGGTCATCTCCGGGGCCGGCCCGGTGGCGCACTGCTACAGTGCGCCGCTTGGGAGTGCGGAGGCGCTCCCGCCGAGGGTTCAGATCCCACATACAGACCAGTTCCCGATCGCGGGCTGAGCGTGGTGTGGTAGCATCACCGAGGGTTGCGATCCTGTTGCCGGTCCCAGTCTGGTCCGGGCGCGACACTGAGGGTTGCGATCCATTGCCGGACATGAAAAAAGACAAAAAGGAAAAAAAAAAAAAGAAGCAGGTCATCTCCTACCACCCACTGTGGGTCGGTAGAGAGAAACCAAGCACACCCTGGGTGCAACCTGAGCTCTGAGCATGAAGGCCAGGCCTGTGAGGAGTTTTGTGTCTGAACCATGCCTGGAATGAATTCTCCACTATGCTGGGGTTGCTCTGGTCCGAACCCTCCCACCTTACCTAAGGAACGCCACATGACAGGGGAAACTGCCAAGCTGTGAGCTGGGCTCTGAGGTTTCAAACCTTCTCCAAAGTCAGATGAGACTACACTATAAGTGGACACAGCATAATTTAGCAAAAATTGTTTAAAGTCTGCATTTATGGCCTTGGCTTTATTTACATCTAGAAATCAAAAGTTAGGTATACAGATGTTTCCAGGTATCAAAAAACTTTCCAAATTATAAAATGTAGGATCCTTTTATCAGCAAGCCCTTGGTGGTCTTTTATCTTACAGCCTGTCACAGTGGGGGAAGACTAAAATGTTAGATGTCCACCTAGGAGAATGCCCCATGTTACTGGTTTTTAAATAAGAGTTTTAGAGAGTTTAACATTCAGGGGAATTATAGGTATCTGATTACTCAGAATGTTCTTCTAAAATTTTCTAACTATATTTTTGGAGACAGGACTAGAAATTCCATCAAATTGGTAAAAAATCTATCCAAAGTGTTCTCCACCACAGCGGGAGAACACCCGTCACAGATCACACTTGCCGGAGATTTGAGGTGCACAGTAACCAATGCTCATTTTCAGTCAGTGGACCGATAACGAGCCCCATGCGTATATATGCAATTTTAAGGGATTACATCCACATAAGAATGGTACGAGCATGTGGTGATCAGCAGCGTTGGTGAGAGGTGATAAATGGGGAAGGAACTCACTGACACCAGTCGGCTCCGAAAGTTGACGGTGCATAAAGTCAGGTGCACTGGTCCTTCGCATGGGGACACTGCCAGTACTCAGAAAACACACTGGGTAGCCCTAGAAAGTGTACTTAACCTGGAATTAAATATAGGGGAAAGTCTCAGCCTTTGTTTAATTCACGTTAAATTCATTTATAAATATTCAAAGAGTAACATCTGGGGATGAAGTGGCAGTCTAGCTTTTCCTTTATTAAAGGAATAAGGATTTATGAAAACACACACCAAAGACTACTAGTCAAATTCTTAAGATGAAACAAGCAGGCTGTGTAATCTGACCCTGCACATCTGTGGGGTTTTCAAACATAACTGTCAAAGCCCCCAAATTTTATGTTCCCAAAAAGGATCATAAAATATCACAATAGAACTTCCAGTACCTCTGACCAAGACACTTAGTAATAAATTAAAAGCAAATCATATAACCCTGAGTTATCAAAGTCATCGGTGGGGAATAAACAGACCAAAAGCCTCAAAGGACTATCCAAACACCAGACAGACATCCCGTCCATCGGGGACGAAAGACAGACACAATCACGTGATCTCCACTGGGGAAACTGGTGATAAGAAAAAACACTGAAACATTTTCCAAGAATCTGCTGACTTTAGGGAGACCATTAAGAATGGGGAATGTGGATAATTCAAGAGATGCGAGTTAACACCAGGGCAACGCAGTCCTCACCCAGGAGGGACCAGGTGCTTCCTCAACCCAGGAGACAATGGTGACCCTCCCCCGGACCCCTTTTCTAGCTGGGAGTTCTTCAGTTACAGGATCTGGTCCAGTCAGACACAGGAGGCAGTCTACGACAATTCTCAACTGGACCTCTGTGCACAGAGGGGCACGAGCCCATGTACTCCCTCCCGGCATTAATAATCAGGAAGCCACAAAGCAAATGGGCTTGCTTGCTCTCTGTCTCTGGGCTCGTCAGCCCACTGCCGCTGGAAGGAGCCTTCCTAGGGCCTTCAATCAGTGGAATAAACTACTGCCAAGTCAAGTGCACTGCACGAAAAACTGTCACCTAACACCGCCAACATTTAACTATGGCCAGATCAAAGCAAATCCGAGATGAGATGCCTCCCTGGTGGCCTGAGGGGACCGTGACTCCCTTTCTGTGTTCGGAGAGTACTGTTCTGGATTTTAATTAGTTCCTTTTCTGTACTTCTCATGCTCATCTGGGCATTCCATCGGCTGAGAACACGAGCTGGACTTCCCGAAGAACTAAGTCCCACCATCGCAAAACAGGCCTCGCTGCTGCAGCAGGTGGCAGCAAACACAGAGGGCACAGTCACTTCTTCCCAGGGTCACGAGAGCATGTGCACCAGGCAGTGTTCTGGCGAGAAGCAGCTGGGTTTCCATCCTCAAGTGTGATGTGCTCAAGGACATGCACCTCCCTCAGTGGCACAACGCATAAGACACTTTATTAGAGTTGAACAACAGGAAGATAACTCAAGCTTTAGTGTGACATGGCTTTACATATATAACCTCAGCCACGACGCTGAACCTATGCACCTGAGACAGAAGACTGTGGCCACACAGACCCAGCACACCCCTCTGCACAGAGGAGGTGGGTTCCCAACACACACCCGTGCTGTGTGCACATGCCGGGGTCAGAGCATACCACTCACGACCTCACAAGCGTGCACACACATGCACACAACACAGCCAATGCCACCTGCGCCCTCCTCGGCGTCCCTTCCCTAGTTCGTTTCTAAATAGCACCTTCCCGGATATGGTTTCAAACTCACACATCCATCAGGTGTTGGCGGCTTGACTGCATCTTGAGCTGGCGCTGCCCCGGCTGGCTCCCAATCACATATCACATGCCGGGCCGGGCAAGGTCAGCTTATTACAACTCTCATGGTCCGGAATCCCTGGGGAGGCATCGTAACCACATGCACGTGCACACACACACTCCCCCACCACCCTTAACAACACAGAAATACAGTGAGGGCACTCTGTAGGAAAAACGAATGCCCTTTCGCTTTTTATTATTCCTTTTCAGTGTGGTGAAGCATACATAACAAAAAATGTGCCCCTCGAAGCACGCTGAGGCTCCATCCCACTCACGGCCGCTCTGGGTTTTGCTGGCCTGTCCTGTTGCAGGCTTTCCACCCGCTCTCAAAGCACGTTGTAAGCGGCAGCTACCACTCCTGCGTGCTGCACGGACACCTGAAGGGCCTCTGCTCTATCCCCTTAGCTCCTGCCTCTACAAGACGGCCTCTCCAGCTGTCACATTCCTTCTGCAAGGCTGCTTTCCACATTCTCCAGCAAGACACTCTCCTTGCCTGACTTCTTTTCCTAAGTGTTTAACATAGACTTTTCCCATTTCTGCCCCCTGTATTTTGCCTCATAAAGGTCCCTATCAATTTCCATAACTAATGGATATAATTTATACAATTCCATAAACGTAAAGGGTTTTCTGCCCACCTAACCTCTCTGGGTTTCTGCGGGAATGGGAGAAGGTCCCATGCAGGGCTGGGGTCTGCGGTGCTAGGTGAATGCACAGGGTCTTGTAGGAAACAAGCGGCTCCATTCGCCCGCTGGTGCTGTGGACCCATGTGCAGCCGAGCTGGTGATATCACTCTCTGAACTGTCAGAAACAGGGGCTCTCCTTCGCATGAACAAGGAGCGGGAAGTGAACGATCAAGCAGGTAATTGCAAACATCATATTCACAGTGACATCTCTGATTAAACTTTAGGCTGACAAGGAGAGGAGAAGGGGGCTGAGGGAAGGGAAAGGAAATGGCATTGTTTTTTTTAAAGGTTAAGAAAAGGTAAAAGTTCCATACTATTGAAATTATGCAGGAAAGCTTAAGAGACTCACTATTCAAAATCTTAAAAGAAAAAAAGATGATGACGTCAGTGAAGCCACCTTGACTCTAAGGAGCCTCCCCCCAGCCCCAGAAATGGCACTATCAGAATCATCACGAAGAGAGGCTTTCACTAACGACTGCGCCCACAGGCTTGTGTAAAGACGTTTATTTGGTTCTGAATTTTTCAACTCTTCATCACAATAATTTCCTATCTCG